CCATTGTTAAGTTTGCATTCGAGCGGAGCAACAGTGCGTATGGCTGGCCAGGAACCAGCCCTTTTGGTTCCCATGGAAAGGCGCTTGGATGATAACCGGACGATCTCCCTTGTTCGTTATTCCCCGGTCCCCTACCCGCTGCTGCTAGAGAATTTAGAAAATGTTTTCAGAAAGTGGTGGCGAGGAAGAGAAGTCATGTCGTTATTAAGGGTGGAATACCATAATACGTGAAAGTTAAATTTAGTGCGTGGTATTAAAGGAGGATTTCTTGCATAAGAAATCTTGTCTTAATGGCATCTTTCTGCTGCTCTGTAAAGAAACAGGGTTTGTGAACTGCAAGGAGAGATGTATTTAAAGGTAATAAAAAACTAAGCACAGCCTTTACAGAGATGAGGAGAAATTGTATTGTAAGTTAACAGTTTATTTATTTATTTATTTATTATTTAAATTTATATACCGCCCTATCTCCCTTACGGGACTCAGGGCGGTGAACAGGCAATAATAAAAATCACAATAAATATTGAATAAAAAGCCTGCTCTAAAATACCCCATATAAAACCCCTAGCAAAGCCCACAGTACATTATTTAATATGATATTTTTAAAGAGGTAACTGATGACCTTATAGATGAGAGAAAGTCTAAATAGGTTGAGCAGTAGGGATCAAAGAAATTAACTATTGCAAAATGGCACCAAACTGATTGTCATAGTTTAGAAAAATAAGATATAGGAACATAACCTGATTGTGGAGGTAGAAAGTGTAAATAAGTTTAAACACTTTCAGTAGAAGAGTTTAACTTAAGAGTGAATAGATTTGAATGTATAGCTTAACTTTCTAAAATGTATATATTTTTTTATTTATTGTGAAGAATTATAGACCTGAGAAAAAGAGGTAAGATCACTGATATCTGGGAATTTGACATTAGTGTTAATTTATCTCTTTATTTTTCAAGTAGGACAACAAGAGACTGAAAGAGAGTTAGAAGCAACACTTGATGAAGTAGCAAACCAACTAGATAAACAAACACTGGAAGAAAAGGAAAAAGATGATGATGATGAAGGTAAATATCATTTATGTGACTTTGTGCTAGAAGTATTTCTAAAATAAGAAAGAATGAGAATGGAGAATTGAAATTCATGTTGAAATGTATATAGATTATTGTAAAAATGGTTTGGCTCACATAGTATTTAGCCATGGGATATTTAAATATGTTTACTGAATAAATAATAAGTTGCCAAAGATCTTTGGATTGCAGTAGGTTAGAAATGCCAAAAATAAATAGGTCCATGTGTCACACTAACTCTGATTTACAAACCTTGTAGGTTGATAGAAGAATACCAAAAGCAAACAAGCCATGTTATGGCTTAGGGCATATATGAATTGTGCTATCTGCTCTTTGATTAAAAGGCTAGGTACGTAATATATATAATATTATACCGGATAATTAGAAAAAAGTCTAATGTACATATTGCATTTGTTTTCAGCCAGATACATGGAGCATATCAATAATATATTAAACTTACATGCTGCCAATGACTCTGGGTGGTGCACAACAATTAATATGTTAACTAGTTTAAAGTACAATGTAAACGCTATCTGAAAAAGTGGATGACATGTAAGTTTAAACAGTTTCATTGATTCAAAACAGTGGTATCGACAGTAAGCTTGTATACACATAGTTAATGTTATTTTATGAAGTTCTTTGTGCTGCCTGAACTGTTTGCACATATTTCATTATTTAACTAGCTGCCCAGAGTCATTTAGGAGAGATGGGTAGTATAGCAATGCAATGAATAAATAAGTAAATAAACTAGGTAACATAATCAGTGCGATTGGCTGGGATTTGCTATCTGTTTATATGTGCAGTATCTTTCCCTGCCAATTTTGTTCAGAATGTGGTTTCCTGCTTGGTAGTTCCTTGTTTAGAACATTGTTTTCTGTTTGATTGTTTTTCTGGTGTTGATCCCTGCTTATTGGAGCATGGGCTGCTGGAGATGATGATGTCTATGTCTAATCTTAGACTAAGCCAAATCTAAAAATGCTAGGGAATTTCTGGAAGCTTGGCATTTAGCCAAATCAGCCATGGGTAGACACATGAGCATAAACCTTTACACACCTTTCAAAGAGATGATAAAAGATCTAGGAAGGAAACAAAAAGGTTAAAATGGGCAAAATTAATCAAAATTTACAAATCCTTGTTCTTATGGGAAAAATGGGAATTGGGAACTCGGTGTGCCTTTTTTTGAGTTCAAAGAAAGCTAGGATATAAATAAAATAAACTATGATTGTGTGTGATCTAGTGCACCGTATCAGCAGTATTTGTGATAAAACATTGCCATGGCTTTATCATCAAATTAATCTTCTTGGAAGAAAATACTGTGAAGATGTGATTGATATATCACTCATTGTAAAGCATTTACCATGATAAATAGTTTTGACTGTACTTATTGGCCAATTCATTATTGTTTCTATTTTTCCACTGCAATAATAGACTAATGGCAAAATATTATATTCTTAGGACATTTTCAATATTTAATATCTATTTGTTTTGTGTAGATGGTGAAGGAGATGGTGACAATGCAGCAGGAAAGAAAAAGAAGAAAAAGAAGAAAAAGAAAGGACGTAGGTGTTCGTTAAATATTGATCATTATTCTATTTGTCTTCCATGAAATGTTCATGAAATACTACTTTATTCTGAATAAAAGCAATGGTTCATTGCTTAGTTGGCTGCCTTATAGCATTGGCAAGCTCTTGAGCAACATTCTTAAATATTGGATTTGCCCTTGTTGATTGGTGAAAAAAAGTTGATCTTCCATCTTAATTAAACTGTAGTATGAAGACAATTTAATATTTTGATTTCATCTTCTATGGATGCTTGCACAAATTTGGATTCTGAAATTAAACATACTATCAATCTATCAATAAATTGTTTCTTTAAAATTTTAGCAGTAAAAGATTATCAGTGAGGCAAAGGATCTAATAGATGCTTTAAAATATTTATAAAATGAGTTAATTTATGTATAGATAGAAAATGACTACAGGTAGTCCTCATTCAGTAACCATTTAAAGTTATGAGGGTACTGAAAGAGGGGATTTACAATTGTTTCTAGTAGTTGTAATTGTTGCAGCATCCTGTGGTCACTTGATTACAATTCGTGTGCTTGGCCACCAGTTCACCGTTATGGTTGCATGGTCCCACCATCACATGATTTCCAATCAGAAGCCAAGGGGAAGTTACAAATGCTGATCATGTGACTATTCAGTGCTTCAACTGTGTGGGATTCGCCTAAGAACCGCAATTAGAACTGCTGCAACTACCGTCATAAATCAGTGTGGTCATGTGATGTCACACTTAATGACTTCACTTTGTGTTGTCCCAAAGGTGTTTTTTCAAAAGGTAACTGGACTTTCTTTGTTTTGCTTGAAGACATTTTGCTTCTCATCCAAGAAGCTTCTTCAGTTCTGACTAAATGGTGGAAGATGGAAGGATTTATATTCCTTGCAAAAATCTTTCTATTCTACACCATTCAGTTAGAACGGAAGAAACTTCTTGGATAAGAAGTGAAACATCTTCAAGCAAAACAAAGTCCAGTTGCCTTTTGAAAAAGCACCTATGGGACAACCATGACCTGGATGACTGAGAATCTCCATAGACATTCACTTAGTGATGGAGTTTCTTGTCCAAATTACTGTTATTGAGTGAGTTCTACCTATATAGCATTATGCAGCATGCAAGTGTGTTGTGGAAAAGGGTTCTCCAACGATCTTTACAAAGATAAGCCAGTTTTTTTTCTGTGAGATACAAATGTAAGACTAAATGGATTAAAACCTAAGGTACTGTAGTGCCTCTGTGTGTACATACATGAATACACAGACATACACTATTTTATTTTTAACAAAAGATACTCTTAATGCTTTATGAGCAGTGTCGATTCTATCCTAGAGGCATGTGAAATATGTTAATATTGTTTTAAACTCACATGGTATCCATAAGACCAGCAGTTTATCTAAAATTGGCCAAGAAAAACTTTTGGGGGGGAATTCTGAGCATTCTGAAAATTGTTTATTTAATATGTATTGTGTTTTTGACTAAAACTCAGACAATAAGCAAGGATTATTTTAAAAAAATATTTGTTGACAATGATTTTTTTTATTCTAAGACAGACTCAAAGTCTCTTTCTGCCAACAGCAAAACTGCAAACAGATCCACCATCTATTCCAATATGTGACTTGTTTCCCAGTGGGATATTTCCAAAAGGCGAGGAATGCGAGTATCCAGCAACGCAAGATGGGTATGTATCTTGATTTGTCTTTTTCAGTGTAGGGTTCAAGGCAGTGATAATTTAATTGATAAGATATTACTTTTAAAAATTCATCGATACTTCAGATATTTTATTTTGCACTTTATAATATATCTGGGCAAGGAATAGGTTTAGCATGCATTTGTATGATTTGTGGTATAGCAAAGTGTTTCCAATAATGGCAGCAGCATGTATGTATGTATATATCACTATTGGCCTCAGAAAATGTATAACCAAAGAAAACCTATCCACAGGGCCTTAGGTTTTACACCTCCCCAAAGATTGAGAAAAGGGCCAGGTCTTTAATAGTGTCCTGAGCATCATCAGACTGGGAACCATCCAAATGTCTGAAGAGATTCATTCTAGAGGATAGTCACCGATCCTAGATCCAAAAAGATGATACTGCTTAATTGATGAGAGCAGGAATATACCTATTCTCCCAATCTAACTGACAATGGAACCAATCAAAGACAAGTGGTCTCTCAAGTTAACAGATCCTATGCTATGAAAGGCTTTGTGGATGATAACCAGCATCATATTTTAAAATTAGTTGCTGAAAATTAGATACGTTCGCAGCCTTAAGTTATTTATAAAAATAATAAAGGCAGAATATAAATATATTATTTGCCTTCCAAATATGAGAAAATGGAATATGGTCATTGCAGGGTATGGCTGATAATTAGGAATAATGTGTACTGGAACCCCAAATCTCTTATTTTTATCTCAGCAGATAATTTGTCAGAGCTATGTAGCTGATTATTACATTATCAGAGTCAGAGTAGGTAGACTTCATAGAATTCTTCAAATTCTTCATTTATACATGTAAAACTTCCAAGATTTGATTCCAAGATTTTTTCTTGTATAGTTAAACAGGGTTCACATACTATGCAACACATAGTTTGTTCGATAATACATAGCTTGTTTATGAGTCCATGAACTATAAATAAATAGCTTGGCCTATTGATTGTAGGCTAGTCATGATGTAGTCAATAAACCATGATTCAGCATGTTCTGTGAACCTAGTAATAATGTAAATACAGTATTTTCATGTTTAAAGAGATAACTAATTACTTGACAGCTTAAAGAACCTTTTGGCATTTTTTGTAGTCATATGGCAAAAAGTGTCAATGTCAGTTTTGAGTTGGATGAAAATTAGTATTTTGAAATGTTACATATTAGTGAATTCCGCTATCACCCTCTGCACCCTCCCACCCCAAATTGAAATTCATCTGATACTTGGTTTGTATTTCACTTTATGGTGACAAATATCTGACTTTTCAATATTAAAGGAGAACTGCTGCTTGGAGGACTACAAGTGATGAAAAGAGAGCACTAGATCAAGCAAGTGAAGAGATCTGGAATGATTTCAGAGAGGCTGCTGAAGCCCATAGACAAGTGAGGAAATATGTTATGAGCTGGATCAAGCCTGGAATGACAATGATTGAAATTTGGTAATAATAATATATAGTAACATTTTTTTAAAATAATGTAACATTTTAATTTAAAAGTAGATGGCATGGTAGCTGACATTTTTTGTGGGTTTAACTTTTAATTATTTTTGGTGTACAAGCCTTGATGAATGCAGAAGTTTGGCATAATGATTCTATAAAGCAATGAAAACTGTTGTTCATTTATTTTGAATAATTACATCTAGAGTTATAGGGTTATCAGTAGTTTCCCAGTATTATGCAAAACTATTTAAAATACTATGAAATATCTATAGGTTTGCATACCACATCAAAGTTTGCATAGCATTTATACTTCTGAAACAGAAAATATTAGTCTTTACACAGTACTGTATAATGTCAATGGTATGCCTAGAAATAATGGACTACTAGAAACAACTGAAACATGGCTTCTATACAGCTAAGTAAATATATGGAAACAAACCCTTTTATGTAATGTAGATGTTTGCTTTTCAGTGAAAAACTAGAAGATTGTTCACGGAAATTGATACGAGAAAATGGCTTAAATGCTGGGCTTGCATTTCCCACGGGGTGTTCTCTGAATAATTGTGCAGCCCACTATACCCCCAATGCTGGAGATCCAACTGTATTGCAGTATGATGACATCTGCAAGATAGATTTTGGAACACATATTAATGGTGAGTTCCTCTTTCTTAAAATATAATCATTTCATTTAGTTGAAGGCAAATTACTTTATCTCCTTTGTATCTGATTTCAGGTCGTATCATTGACTGTGCTTTTACTGTCACATTCAATCCAAAATATGACAGGCTCTTACAAGCTGTAAAAGATGCAACTAATACTGGAATAAAGGTATACTCTGAGAAATAGTACAGTTCTGTCCTTATCCACACTGTAAAACTGAAGATAAAAATAATTTTCATTTTCTTTTGTATATGAATAGTGTGCTGGGATAGATGTTCGCCTTTGTGATGTTGGTGAGGCTATCCAGGAAGTCATGGAATCTTATGAAGTTGAAATTGACGGCAAAACCTATCAAGGTGATTTATTTTCCAGCTAATATATATGGTTATCCTGATGAAAACTGAAGAGTTGGCTTATCTACATATTATTTCTACAATAAAAAATATTTTGAAGTTGATTTTTAAAACATCAATATAGTCTTCTAAATTCTGAATACTGAGTTTTTAAAATTGTTTATTTCAGAAAGTGTAATTTGTCCAGTTGTTAAATATATGTAAATCAGCCAAAATTAAAATAAGATTCATGCATTTATAAACCTAAAGCTTATGAAAATGGGCAAAGTCCATTAAATCTCACATTTCCTGTGATATTTTACACCGTCCTCTTAATTACATATATTTATCTTAGTATTTTACATTTTATGTAGTGAAACCTATTCGGAATCTGAATGGACACTCTATTGGGCCATATAGGATACACGCAGGCAAAACTGTTCCCATTGTGAAAGGAGGAGAAGCAACAAGAATGGAAGTAAGTATAGATACAATCTGATCCTACTCATGCTTACTTGGAGGTCCCATTGATTTCAATGCTTTTAACTTCCACTGTTTTGCTCATCAAAATTAACAGTTTTAAGATGTCATGAGGTGGGTTAAAAATCTAATAAATATACAACACCATATTAGTACAGTGTAATGATACTTGCCATTTTGCTGATGGATAGTCTTCACTGGTAGCTGCATGTAAACATTGAATAAAAAGGGTCCCTATGGTCTTGACAAGAAAGAATCTTTCACCGCTGAATGGATTGCTCCAGTAGGAACTTTGTAAAATGTTAGAACAAAAATATGCATTCACTTTGAAAACTGCTAATTTGCAGGAAGTAAATATTTTGAATCTAAAGTGTATTTTGCACATGTACTGTTTTGCAGATAATATGTACAATTTTTAGAAATTCTACTGTAGTTAAATAATAGCTTTTTGAAGAATAGGTAATGGTCCTGGTATAGACATAATGCTAAATTAGAATTGCTTAGAATCAAAATCTTACAGCTGTATATTTAAAATGAATGAGATTTAGATTCAGTGCGAAACAAACTATGAAGAAAGACTTACTGATTAATTCAGCTACTCTACCTGACATAGGGAATAAAATGATTAAGTTTCTTCTTGATAAAAAAAAATGGCGCATGTTATGTGTAAACAGGATTATGGCTAGATTAATTTTGGAGGGGATAGCCCAGCTCAGATAAATAATTTTGAAGGTATTATATACTCTATAAACCCATGTTTGTTTTTTAATAGGAGGGAGAAGTTTATGCTATAGAAACCTTTGGTAGCACAGGAAAGGGGGTTGTTCACGATGATATGGAATGTTCTCATTATATGAAGAACTTTGATGTTGGACATGTGCCAATAAGGTTAGTGCTGATTTTACTGCATTATATGAAAATGTAACTTTAAGTATGCTTATATTTAGGGGAAAAAGATACTGGCAAATTCAAAACTTGAAAAAGGTGGTAAGAACATAGTGCTTATATGAAACATAATTCTCTTGTGATACATCAAAAAATATAAGTTTTGTTTATTTCTCTGAACAGATGGGAACGTCTTTACTAATATACAACATAACAATGCACTTTCAAATGAGTAATAAAAAGTAGGCAAGCTATCACCAAAAAGTGCTTTATTGGCATATTAAAAGCAGACATCTCTGCCAAATGAAAAGTTCATGGGATAAGCAAAAAATATGGTATAAGCAATCTTTGAAGATGAATTTGGAGGTCATATTTCAAAGTTACACCTAGCTTCTTTGGCATGGTTTAGGCCTTTCTAGCTCTGAAAATGGTGAGTTCATGTGGCATGTTACCATTTTGGGGTTTGGATCTATTGATGGATAAAGCAAGAGGAAAAATTAGATTTGGACAAATTAGAAATTGGTATATCAGCGTAATATCTGCACTTCAAATAAATTAGTATCCTAATTTTGTGCCTTCAAGTTACCACAAATGGCTTCAGTTATTTATTTACTTGCATTTTTATTATGTTTGACCTGACAGACTCTGGGTAGTTAATATTCAGCTCATAAAGGAATCATACTGACATGTCATCATAGTAATAATAAAACAATGGCAAAAACACGTATGAAGTGTAAAGACTATTCACGTTGTGGGCAATATCGATTTCAGTGGTTGCATATTAAGGATCGGATGGTTATTGAAAAGGCCCCATCCCAAATCATAAGGAATGTGTCTGATCACTAAAGAATTAAAATTCACAATGATTAATAGATGTTTTCCTGAAAGGAAATAAAGCCAATAACCAAATAAAGCTGCACTGCACTTCCTAGATTTGCTCATTATCATGTTCTTTGATCACAATCCTGTAAAACACTTTTCCAGGCAGTTTTAACAGGCTAATCTTGTTGTAGTTTTTGCATCCACTCTTACTACCTTTCCCTTTGTATAAGTGAACAGTATTGGCATTCTTTCCAGTTGTCAAGCAAGTTTTCACACACAAAGAATTTGCCCAGTCACTCTAAAAGCAATCCACATCTACATAATTTCTCATCTTAATTTTTTGCAGGATTCCTTATATGATTGTTCTTATCTGTACACTCTTATCATTCCCCCAAGCATCCTTGTTCATAACTTCCCATTTGTGTAGTTCCATATGATTCTGTAAAACAATTGTTTTAATTATTCCAAGCATCTTTCATGTCTTTCATTACATTTATTTTTATTCTACTGGGACATTTTTTTCATTCATTCTATTTTTGCTCTCATTTCTTTAATTTTTTTTTCATAGATTACTCTCTATCCGTTATTGAAAGCCATGTACTAATAAGCTGCCCAGAGTAACTGATCATGTTGAATGTCTGATCTGATTCTGTATAATTATTTCAATTTTCATTAATGCTTGTTTTAAATTTATACATTTATTATTCTCTTTCTTTTAGGCTTCCAAGAGCAAAACACTTGCTGAATGTTATCAATGAAAATTTTGGTACTCTTGCCTTTTGCCGTAGATGGTTAGATCGTCTGGGAGAAAGTAAATACCTAATGGCACTGAAGAATCTATGTGACTTGGGTATAGTGGACCCATATCCTCCTCTATGTGATATTAAAGGCTCATACACAGCACAGTTTGAGCACACCATATTATTGCGTCCAATGTGCAAAGAAGTTGTCAGCAGAGGAGATGACTATTGAAATGTCAAAGCCATTACCTCACTTATGTACTCCGTTGGAACATGTTATAACAGAATAAATTTGCAGTCTGTTTTAACAGTCAACTCAATGTGATAACTTTCCATGTTCAGAAGAAAAGAATTTAATCAAAGGCAAGTTCTCTAATGTAACTAAGGAAAAAAAACCAGCTACTGGGGCTTCTAGAATATTTCAGATTACTTCTATATTTTTCTTTTGTGAGAAATATGCTACAAAGTGTTATTTTTAGTTTGGAATGAGTTATACATATTGTTTGAAATAATTCTGAAAAAATGCTTTTCGGATATTTATATATTACCATATTCTTACTTGAATGCTTTGAATGATCACAAATGATTTCTGCACCTAAGCTGTCTTTGCTGTTGCCTTTTAAACTGCCTGGAATTTATTAATAAATCAATAAATCACAAATTCAAATAGTTTTTAAAAGTGTCACAATCCAAGGCAGTAACACACTGGAAAGTCTCTCCCATTAACCCACCTGCTGTTAAGAAAAAGTTTCCAGTATAAGCACAGCAAGCAAATACAAAGCATGGTTTAGTTTTCAATTACATTGTGTACATGTTTATTTTGCTTCCTTATTTTGCTTTGAATTAAATTACTGGGTTTTCTTTCTGATATGCTAGAGTGGGCTAGGACTGGCCATTTTTCTTGCAGTGAAATGCTGTACTTTTTTTAACTGTACTTTAACCGTACAAGGGCTTTAAGAGAAATAAATGGGAAATCATGATGGGCTGGCATAGAATTTGAGGGAATTTTGCAGCTGCTTGACCTGGTTGCAAAATTAAGCAGCACTGAAGCAACATATGGTAAATCCAAGGCTTAGACTTGGAATTTTTTAAAAAAACGGTGTAAATACCTCTATAGTATTTTTAGAAAACTGCAGTGGAGTGCAATATAGAGAATTGCAATGGTGTATCCATGAAGTTACCTGGAATCAAACTCAAAGGTCATTTTATTTTTTTGGCACTGTATTGCTTATTAAAATAGTACAGTGTTGCTTATTGTATTGCTTATTAAAACCCTCTCAAATTTCAAGTGTGGGATCTATTCGGTGAATTCTCTGCCATTCCTGTATGATAAACACTAGCTAGTGTTCATATTCCTGTTCTATATCAGGCTATTTATACTAACTACAGTGTGAGCTTCTATATTTTTTAATTTATTAGAAATTTTTACTTATAAAGGCTTGATACAAGTAGTTCATCTCTTATGCAGTATGGTTGAAGCGAATCAAAATCACACAGAATCATTCTGTTCTTAACATATAAAAAGTTTGAAGCATAATGCTTTTTGTTCTTTTCAAACCAGGAATATTAAATCAACTTATAATGTTTGCATATATGATTAATAGAACATTTAATAGTTGATCCAAAGGTTAAAATTGTTAAATATGTTGGTGAAGCTACGGTGTAGTAATTGCAGGGCTTATTAAAGTATTGTATGAACTATTTAAGAGATTTCTTACTTGCAGTACTATTTAATTTGGGCATTTTGAAGCTGCTAAATATATTATAGCTTTGCCAAGCAATAATCTTGGTTATTGCAATTAAAAATACATGATGCTGAATTCTTAAGAACCCAGAAAGGATACTTCAGTTTTAATAACTTTCCATGTTTTTGTAGACACTAAAAGAATATTTTAAGTATTGGCCTCTTATTATTTGTGTTAGAAAAAGTATACATGTAAAAGACTGCAAGCAAGTTGTAATCAGCAGGCTGCTGGGATACGGCTTATTGTACTGCAAAAAGTTTCACAAATCTTGGGGAGAACTGATGAGAAATCAAGTATAATTCCTAGGGAAAAAGGAGAAAGAAAAATAGAAACAAGAGGATACCAGGATAAGAGAAATATAGTAGGAATTTAGAATGAAGTATCTGTTACAAGATTTGGACTCAGCGTTCAGTGTTGGCCTTGTGTGTCCAAATGAAGAAGTTTTAATATTTATATGTATTATTACTACAAAGACAATAGAACTGGAAACAGCTGAACAATCAGCACTATGTTTAAGATTTTTTGAAAAACAAAGTATAAACAATAAGCATGCTATTTTTGACTTTAGGTTTTTATGAAAGCTGAAGCCTTTCCTTCACACCACAGCTTTTTTTTTTTTTTCAACAGAGAAACCAATCAGTTCTTTGAAATTAAAATATCTATTGTCGCTACTTGTATTACTTAAGCTTAGAAAGGTGAAACTCTTTCTTGGCAAGTGTATAAAAAGAAATAAAAAATGTTTTACATTTGGAATTTATGCTAACCTAAATGTTAAAGCACAGGCTAAAAAGAACTACCTGAACTGATTGTACAGACAGACACTAGGGCTTCTTTTAAAAGATTAAATCTGTGTCACAGAATATAAATTCAGCATGGGTGGAAGTGAAATCCGATGCATTGTAAATGTCTTTTAAGCTCATTGTATTATTCCTATTGAGATTTTCCTCAGTCCTTTTAATTTCTTACTAAATCCTTCTTTTTCATATCTTCTATTTCTGTTCTGTTCCTCTTTCACATTATTTTATTTACAGATAATCTTGTGCATCTTTTAAAGTGGTAAAAACAGAACTTTTGCCCTCTGAATTTGTAATGTTATCTGCCTGCAAATAACTTGCTCTTTAGTGTGCTTGCTCTACCATGTGTCTTTCACCTGAACCATTGTGTTCTGAAGACTGAATTATTATATCTTTTGCTACCTCGCGTGATGCAGAAAATAATACATGGAAAAGAAAAAGGTATCTGCTGGAGTAGGCTGGCCTTGCAAACAATAGCCATTAACATGAAACATGCAGAGGAAGGCATAATTGCAATATTTTAATCTAAGAATGAGATTCAATGTAATTATTACTGTAACTTGGACAAAGACCCTCTGTATTACCACTTCCTGGGTTTGGCTTTCTATGGATCTATTCTGTGGCAAGAAATCAATTATTCAAGAGTGCTAACTTGATTCTTAAAAGTTTCCTATGAAGAATTAAAATAGATTTCTATGTAATCTAAGCTATATCTAAAGTCATTTTTGCAAACCTGTTTTCAGAAGAAATGGTAAGAAGGCTCGAGTGCTTATTTCCCACGTGAATGTTCCTGTATGCGAATGTATGGTATTAGCAGCCTTTCTTACCATTAAGAAATTTTTGCATCGGATACTTCACAAAAGATGAGAATGGCTTCTCCAAATCATGGAGAAAATTTTTTGAATTCCACAATTTGAGAGAACTGTAGTTCAGATAACTTCATATTTAGGACAAAAAGTTAAAGGCAATTTTGGATGTTTTTTTTTATGTTCTGGAGAATTTTAATTTGTGCATCATTGTTGCAGTAGTATGAACAACATACAGTATTGCAATCTAGACATAACCTAATTTTCCGTCCAATTTGCTCAGAACGACCCTCTTAATTACCAAAGCTAGCCTATGCTGCAGTTTTGCATTGGATAAATGAACATAAAGGAGCAACTGAAATTGAAGCACTCCAAAGAAAATTGAACACAAAGGGCTTTAAATTTAGATAGGGGGGAACACCCTAGGCTAAAAATTCATTAATATGTACAGAGCAATATTCTGAATTTTTGTTTTCCAATAGAAACTATAAACAGCATTTAGGAAAATTACTCTATGCTATGTTGATAACCTGATTGATACATCTGTACTGTAAAACCTTACTAAACAAAAACAACCATGTTTCCAGGTGTTATAGGAGTTATTATCTTCCATGGATTTTACTATGGCAAGTCACAGATCAGAGTAGTTATTCCTCAACTTATGATCATAGCTGACCTTGGAATTAAAATATAAGTCGTGGTCATTAAGCAGGTCATCACGCAATAAACCCAATTTTATATAGTTTTGAGGTGATCATTAAGCAAATTACCATGGTTGTTAAGCAAACTCATTGTCCACAATGGGCATTTTTTACAGAACCAGTAGAAAATGGGTTTCTGGCAACATAAATTGCAGTCATGTTGACTGTTGGAGGGAATGGCACTGTAAGAACTTCAAATCCAGAAGGGGGGGTCTGTCATTACTTCAGTCACTAAGTGACTGGTTGTAAGCCAAGGACTACCTATCTATAGATTAGATACAGAATCTGTGGCAGAAAACCTACGAGCTCTTGTTTTTTTGCAATTACTATTGCCATTTACACCTTCCTCACAGGTTTCCATTTAGTTCAGTATTCCTGGAGTGAAGCAATAAATAGGCTAGGGAAATGATAATATTCTAATGTTCTTACTGATCTTTCTAGTGATTTAGTGCTTTAATAATATGTGAGAAGTGTCGTACTCTTCGGTTACAGAAGAAAGAGAACATTTTAAATGCCCAGAAGAAAAACACATTTGTTACCATCATATCTTTTAATCATGAAAGCAAGACAGATTCCTGCAGACAAGATCCACAGAACTGCTAGTACTAGTATAAAACACAGCTTTTAATTTAAAAATAGTCTAGAGTTTGCCCACCCATATTCCTCATCTAAGTTTCCTACTTCAAAATACTAAAATGCTGAAAAACAGCTTGAGGTAAAATTTAAAGATTCAAATGGAAGATTTTCTCTTAACAATAGCTATATATGCTAGTAACTTGGGAAGTTACTGTCATGAATGAGTTTAAAAGGTATAAAAGATCTGAACATGTAATAAAATTTGGCTCCAGAAAGCAGATTTAGTACATTATTGCGCTTACTTGCCTAAATACATGCGCAAGTGACAATTCAGACTTATCCTGTACATAGCAATTTGGCTTTGAATTAGCTGTTACTTTTCACATTGGAGCCATTAACTTCAGTATTTGCCTGTTTTCCAGATGGTGAATCAAGACTTGACATTCTCCAATGTCCATTCATTAAAGTAACTCGTTGGGTATAAAACAAAATATATGCCTGGGCCTTGCATACTTCTTCCATAGTGCACATGGTGAGCTTGGAATCATTGCAGTGTACCCAGAACCCTAGAACAATGAAAAAATAATAATAAAAATGGTAACATTGATGTTTTCTTCTAAAAGCACAAGATTTATATTTTTATAATTTAAGAATCTATAGTTTATTAAGTATATAACTAACATTGTGCTGAACCAGACCAAAGATTTAAGTAAAGCAGCACTGTGCTCCCATAGTAACCAACCACTTCCATATGAAAGCCACAACAAATTAAATTAATTCAAGCTGTGTAGTGATTTGTAATTACAGATAGGCAACATTCCTAGTGTAATGAAGATACACACACACACACACACACACACACACACCTTTCAAAGTTCTCCAATACAAAAACAGCTGTATCTGAAATAATTATATGAAACAGTTTCTAATATCCAGGGAAAATGGGATTTCATGCAAGGTAGTTCAGCTAAGAGACTGATCTTTCAATGTTATATGCTATAATTTTTTCAGATTTCCAGATTATGAACCTCAAGAATGTAAACATTACTTATAACATAAAAATATCTCCAAAATTGCCATAACCTTATCAATTGCATTTCTCATAAATCCAGTAATCTGTGCATTTCCATATGAATTACCTCCATCTGAATTATAGCAATAGGCAGTGTAGTGTCCTGAACCAAATCCTTTGCCATGATGCATCACAACAGCAGACAAATCATAAATAAAGTAATCTGCCATAAGGGATTTTAGAGATTTTCTGCAACAATAGGGTTCCATGTTTAGTATCTCATCAAAATTGACATGCACACCAATCTTCTCACGATGATTGCGTCCTGACCATCTACAGGAGGAAAAATGAAACTTTTTTTTCTTTTTCATATTTTGAAAGAATTTGTTACTTATTTTACTTTTATAAATTAATTTACTACTAAATAACATAGTAGTCCAATAGTCTAAAAACACTGTGTACTACAGGAAGGAGTATGACTTTTGTTCAGTATCATAGCAATGAATCCAAACTGAGTTATCATCATATCGTCTGTTCAATGCAGGAAAATCAGAACTAGACAGCTGTAACATAGCTAATCAGCCTCTGTTTGAAGATCTCTACTAACACTCTCCACAATGTTGCTACTTAATTTGCCTTCATCTTCAAAATGTTCTTACATTTAAGAAAATTCTTTTAATATTTAAAATACCTTGCAATTTAAGCATAAAAGATCTGCTGGACTTTATTTTTTAGTAAAATTTCTATATATTGAGTTTCTGATTCAGGTCGTTCTTGTTTAATTACTGCCTTGATGAGTGAGCCTTTATAATTATAATGGCAATAAAAACAACTTCACAACCAATTCTTCCATTTGTAACCTTCAATAAAGCAAAGCTGAAATAAGTTCATAAGCTTGTGCTTTCACTCAAGCAACTGCTTTGCTTAATGACTGAGATGCCAGTTCCAATTCTGGTTGCTAAACAAGAACTATCTGTATATGGTTTCCACCTCCAGGGAGCTCCCAATGAAGCTCCCAGTGAGTTGCATAGTATTCCTCTCATCTTCAAACTTTATGGAAAGTCTTCATTTAAGTCCAATTGACAATTTTGCTTTCTCTCATAAATCTACTTGTTTTGGAATGGATAAAATGTTTAAAGTACTTTATATCAGCTGTAATAATTATTACAAAACATTTCTTAATTACTTTCCTAAAGACATTATAGTAATGGGGATGCCATATAGAGAATGTAGCTTAATGACCATTAAAGAAGAAATACTTTATTGAAAAAAAGTAAAAAAGTAAAAAAAAAAAACCCCTCACAAATACAATTTACGTTACCTGAATCGCTTAAGGTGTAACCGCAGAATCTGAGGTAGGTGGCACACCAGAAGCTGCTTCTGTGCCTCTGTGAGTAGAACAGGTTTAGAAGAAAATTTTCTTCGTTTTGCTGTAAGAAAAATAGCCTCCCTCTAATTTATAGCAGATCACATCATAAAATTAGATTAATACCCTTTAATATGTGCATAATATACATGATAAAAATACAAATGAGGCATTCTAGAACTATCCCAAAATACAGTAACAGAATTTTTGTGGATACCAAGTTAAATTAGAAAGAAGTAATCACTTTAGAACTATCATAAAAATACATTTTGATTGGTAGAACAGTCAAGATACAATTTAGATTGCAGTATATATTCATTGGTAAACATGCAAAATGTAATAAATAGCCACTTGTGCTAATGATGTAAGCACAAAGTTTGTTTTACATTCTGTTAAAATATTTCACATAAGTAACATTTTTTTTAAAATAACCCTATTAGTTGGTTAACATCATATATGAAAATCAGATCCCTGAGTACATACAGTCTTTACTCACTGTTGCACTGGTTACAGGCATATATCTTCCCTTCTAAAGCTTCAGTTTCTGTAAATTTGGCCAACATCTCTGTCAACAAGCATGGATACTGACAGGTTGTCTCTCTCCCATTGCAGTGGTATCTTTCAGGAAATTCCAATGACAAGTCCCAGAAAGGCTCTACAGTATTTGATTTGTTGTCACATGCAAGGCATGTTACCTGTCAATACAAACCATCAGTTAATCTGAATTTCCAGTTCTACATGTTTCCCCAAAAATAAGATCTATCCAAAAATAAGCCCTAGTTTGATTTTTACATCTGCGCCTAATATAAGCCCTACACCCAAAATAAGACCTAGGTTTGGGGCAAGGCACACGTGTAAAATTCAAGCTGGGGTGGGGGTGGGGGGTAGAGATGACCTATGCACCCTGCACCCACTTACCTTAGGACCCCTGTAGCCAGGCCTCCCGTGCCCCAACACCTGTCACACTGCTGTCCGAGTTCTTTTGCGGCTACTTGCGGCCGGCTGCATGTGGCGCATCATGCTGGTGCCGCTGCTCGTGCTGCCACAGCACAAGCCATGTAGCCTCCTACCACGAACGGTGGCACCGGCACGATGTGCTATGTGGCTTCCTGCTACGAGCAGCCGCAGAACTCAGGCGGCACAACAGATATCAGGGCGTGGGAGGCCTCGCCACGGCGATCTTAAGGTAAGCAGGTAAGACATCCCCCGAAAATAAGACCTGGCACCTCTTTTGGAGGCAAAAAAAATATAAGACCGGTCTTATTTTCTGGGAAACACGGTATATTTGAATAAACGATGCAAAGACAAATTACTTGTTTTCTCTCTCATCTTGTAGGATCTTCATCCTTAATTTTAAATGGATCCACTGACATTTAAAGATTAAATCAAAATTGGAAACTATAACTAACTTTTCCCTCAAAGGGAAGGGTTAATTATATTATAGCAAAGTACAGTTTTATAGAAGAAATCATATAATGTCATACAAGTGTATATCTTAAAATTATAAAAACTTTGTAGAAAAAGCCCAGTTGTCATGGTTCCGACAGAGACAAATAAAGCAGAACTCCGAGGCTTGCAAGTTCCTCAAAGAACATGTTTATTGATACAAAGTATCGGCACGTCAAAAGTGAAACCAAGTCTGAATAGACACGTAACAATCCCCAATACAAAGTTAAGAAATCCCACCCCTAAAGCTATGCAAGCTATTATATTGCCCAATACATCTTCTTGGCGGGCTTTCCACGAAACACCCAGCCTACAGTCCCGGGAGCAGCCGATGACCTTGGTTCCCATGGGAGAAAATCTGTTTAGACTAGCGAAGCACCTGATAAACCCCCCTCCCTTTGTGCTATGTGTCAACTGAAAATGAGTACAGATCTGGGAGTCTTCAAATAAGCAAAGTATATTTGGATCGGCACATTTCACTAAGTTTCCAATTCATACAAGCCCAGAAAAGTTACAACAAAGATATTATGGATGGATGGGCTGCATACAATATTTAATTGTATTTCACTGTAGGAAATTTGTATAAAACAAAACACTTTTTTTTAGCCCCAAAGGCTTACTGATTTAAAAGCTTTAATCTCTAAATAAATGCTACAGTGTGCATAAATATACAGGAAAGACCAATGAAGAATAAATTAACTGAAATTAAGATGACAAAGAATACAGTACAGTCTGACCTATTTGGATATTTGTACAGTATAAATATTTGAATTTAAAGAGAACAAATTGCTTTAGATCCAGCGTGGGTACTTTATTCTACCTACTAGCAGCTCCTTAACATTATTCTCTTCCTAAGCTTGCATGGTAGACTCATGGCTTAGGAAATAGTGGCATTCAGGAGATCTTATGGAAAGTATAATCGCATGTTGGCTCCCTTTCATCATATATTTCCCTGAGATATGCAAGCCCAGAAAAGACATAGACTTTTTACTAATGATTGATGAAGCAGGATCCAAAGCACATGGTCCATTTTTTATCTCAATACTCTTATATTTCTTCTCTGAAGTACAGTATACAACTAAAATCTTATAGGAAATATAAAGAATGTTGCTACAGTAATATATTTGCTATCATATGTATTATGAATTATTTCTCTTCTCCCTTCAAATAAAAAAATTCAAGGCCTGCAAAGTGAGGCTGAGCAATCTAATTTCAAGCTCATATTGAAAAATCCTAGTTTTAACCACTGATTTTAGAAATGATTTTGTTTAACAATTTAGCTTAAGCAGACCACCAACTAAAACTGCAACTTTGCTTAACACATAAGCTATCTTGTCTTTGCAACTGTGAAGAATTATAGTTGTGGTTTGCAATTCTCTTCATCCATGATCCCAGGGTCCTTCTTGTATGACGAAACAACAGAGATGGGTGGCTCAGCATATGCTATTACTTGGAAATATCTGTGGGAATCTCCATATAAATGTCATCAAACGCCCTTGTTTCCAAATTTGTGCAAACATACCATCAGGGGACTATACTAATTTTCAAACACTTGTAAATATCTCAGAATTTGCATATCATGACCAGAGACTGCTTGCAGATCAACAGTGAGGGATTTTTACAATTGTAGAACTCTGTTTCTGGACTCAAGGAGTATGTAAATGAAGACCCATGCTCACCTAAGTGAGAATCTGTCACCTGAGTATAAAATGAAGTCTTCCCTCATTAGGAGCAGACATAGTGCAGATCCTTTAAAAGCAAACTTTCCAACCACAAAATAATTATCCAATCATAGCTACCACAATAAGGCATTACTCTCTCTCTCTGTCCAACCCACCTCACAGGGGTGTTGTGGAGAAAATAGGAGGAAGGAGTATTATGTATATTTTCTGCTTTGAGTCATTTATAAAAATAATTGCAATGAGATAATCTAATCAATCTAATTAATGGGATAACAATCTAATCAATCTAACAAAGAAATAAGGATAAATTACATGCACACAGAGCATTAATGACATTCAGAAGTAAAATATACTTGGATAACAGAAGATGTTCTAACAAGCTATCTGAATTGGAATTCCAGAGCAGTTGATGGAATTCCAGAGTAGTTCCATCAAAGAAAGTAGAGATCTTTTGGAGTAATTGAATTGTGAATCAAAGTGCTGGAAGCTTGACAAGATCGATTTTAGAAACAGATTCAAAGGAGCACATTGTTTAAATTACATTGTTATATTATATAAAAAGTAAGAAAAAATACAACAGCCTCATACTTATACCATTGCAAAAAAATTCAGGATGATTCCATTAGAACCTTTTTTAATTAACACATTTTTTATTAAAATGCATACATGTTTGTGAACTGCAATTCACTTCATCAGATGCAAGTGAGCAGCTTTCATCAGATGTAAGTGAGCTACAGCTCACAAAAGCTTAAGCTAAGCTAAGCTAAAGTTGTTTAGTTGGAAAAGGTGGTACTATCATAGACAAACACAGCTCTAACAGGATTAAACACCCATTCTGCGGCTAAATGGAAATAATTTTTCATTTAACCAAGCTCTTAAATTATGGAAATGCTGTTGCTTATTTTTACTTGTTCTGCTGAATTTATTTTACTTTTGAAATTACCTCAAGATCTTTACTAAGGAACAAGTATTTTTTATATTTGTTAAAATACAGGTAATCCTCAACTTCCAACAATTCATTTAGTGACCATTCAAAGTTACAAAGGCTTATGACCATTGTAGCATCCCCACGGTCACGTGATCAAACTTCAGACACTTGGCAACTGACTCATATTTATGAAAGTTGCAATGTCCTGGGGTGATGTGATCACCTTTTGCGAACTTCTGACAAGCAAAGTCAATGGGGAAGCCAGATTCATTTAACAATCGTGTTACTAATTTAACAACTGCAGTGATTCATTTAACAATGGTGGCAAGAAAGGTCGTAAAATGGGGCAAAATTCACTTAATAACAGTTTCATTTAGTAACATAAATTTTGGGGTCAGTTGTGGTCATAAATTGAGAACTACTTGTAGTTCTAAAGTTTCATCTACAGGGAATCCCTGTGCAATGTAAATAAAATTAAAATTCAGTTCTGTTATTAAATATAACAACTTTAAAAGCAGAAAAGCCTTCAAACAGTGAAGGCCATAAAAAGATTAACTTAAAATCTTTTGTCTTTGTACCAGGAGAAATTCTGGATTGATGCCAGTTATACTTTCTTGTGACTCTCAGAGTAAGAGTATTGTCACAAGTAATGTCTTCTTTTTAAACACATTCTGCTTGTGTACCAATAGAAGTCTGTGTAACTATGACTTTACACTATCATAATATGCTGGCAGAACCATAAGAAACAAGACAATTCTTAATTTAAGAAATAAGTGATATAGCAGGCAGGGACTGAAGCCTGCTTGAAACAGTACAAAATATTGCTTACTCAAAATACAATACTAAGTTGGATTCTGATTTAATATAAAACAGTAAGGAAGCTGAGTCTGCAATCTTATACTACACTGAATTTTCCATCACTCATTCACTGAATAATCTTATTCTAAAGTATTTACCTGACTTAAAAGCTGTCCATGAAAAATAGTGTTGACCACATTCAAAACTTTTTTAATGAGTTTCCTTTGAGAAGCTGGAATGAGGGTCGGACTTTTTGCTCTAACTGTCTCCAATTCTTGTTGGACTTTATCCAAAAGTTCACAAAGAAATTCCTGAGCATCTTGTTGGGCATAACCATGGAAGGCTGGGATTAGTCTCCACACAGAATGGAGCATGGCAAAAGGAGACACCAATGCCCACTTGCCAGACCACATAACTTGAAACAAAGTATGTAATTCATGACAAAGAGAAATGTACTTTGAACTTGGTTCCTTGGGCTGAATAAGTTCCATATTTCTATTACTTGATCCACCACCACTTAAACCAGATGATGTACTAAATCGCCTTGCAGAAAATGTCTGGTGCTTAACAAAGGTTTTGTGTTCTTGAACATCAAAGGTAGCAGACAGAGGCTGCTTTGTAGATGATCTTGTTTTGCCACTGGCTCCAATTGCTAACAACTCTTGTGTTTGGTTTAAATCAAGCTTTAAAAAACATTCCCTAAATATGAACAAATGACTCAATACCTGAAGAATAGAGTTCATATAGCAAGTATTTCCCAAGTTTCGTAGTCCTGTCACACCAGGAGTCATAGTAGATCTTCGTTTGGCTGGAGAGTCATTAATTTTTTTTAACTTTGCATCATCTGAGGTAGCTGTTACTTTCAGCTCTATATCAGAGCCCAAACTTTGTGGCATTTTTAGTGCACAGACTGAAGATTCTTTGTTTTGTTTTTGCAAGCGAAAGCTTTTCCTTGGTGGTATTTTTTCCATTTCCTCCTTCAATTGACGTTTCCGCTCTTCTCTTTTCTTCCTAGCATTGACTCGTCTTTCTTCTGCCTGTTCACACAGCTTATCTTCTTCTAAAATCCTTTTCCCAGTTGGTGTTAGTTCAAACCAAGTTCTAAATACTTTGCCCATTAATGCATGCCTCCTGTGCCACAGGGCTGTGAACATACGGTCTTGACTTCGAAGCAAAGCTTGAGCATTATTATGTGAAAGATCATCGCTTATGCCCATAGATCGCAGAATCCTACCACTCCGAGTAGTACAGTCATAATTCTGGCTCTTGATTGCACTTAATATACTTCGTAAAAGTTTTATGTCACCAGTTGCGTTATCATTAAGAACATAATCATCACAAAGGTAGCAAAAAATGTACAGCTCATTTACTTCCAATGCTACTGGATGATTGCTTTCCTGAAAGTGCTTTAGTGCATGTTCTTCAATATATCTTCCACAAGCAACATGAGAGCAACTGAGACAGGCCCATACAGATTCTGTAGTATTGCATACCATACAATGCCATTTGTGAGGATTCACAATTGAATGGTCCTGGGCAAGCCGCAGTCGGCCTACATGCTTACATTTATCCATTGTCAATCTCACAATGTTGAGAATATACTATAGAAATTCATCAGCCCAACAGTTTCTTAGGTTTTGCATTTTCGCCTGAAAATGAGGGGAAAAAATAGATTTCATTATGCTTTTAGTATCACGCCACAAAAAATGAAACGATTAAGACTCTCAGATCAATAACACAATGAAAGTAAGATATATGTATATATATATTCATAATTGTCTCTAGGAAGCTATGTAAAAACATCCAAATTTGAAGTACTGTTTCATGTTCAAAAAAATTATTTTGATCCTGTTCTGTCCATTCTGAAAACAGCACTCTTTGTCCCACACACAGAGATTTAAATCACAATGACTAAAATCAACTCCACTTAGAACTGTCTTTAAAGAAAAGAGAACACACAATGTATATTTATAATGACTGACATACTGTGGCCCAATTTTTAGTCATTAGGGATCTTAGTGTAACGTATCACAGACACACACACACACACACACACACACACACAGAGAGAGAGAGAGAGACAGACAGACAGACAGAGACAGAGAGACAGAGAGAGATCCAATAATTAGGAATCCTTATTGCTCTTATGCTGGAGGTCAACCTTATATCCTGAAATGGCAGCTATTACATGAGAGGTTTTAAAAAATTAGTATGGGATAACTCACAAGACTTTATGTAAAATTCTTAAAATAAAGATCTTAAAATAAAGGTCTGTTAAATTAGTACAGGTAAAAGATTATAAAGAAGAGGAGGAAGAAAGTATTTTTGAAAAGAAAAATGACAATAAGGCAACTCTGTTCTTTTATTTGTCTCCATAGCTTTTCAGTATAAACTGCCACAATCACAGAAACTACTTCAAATCATTTATACCAGGGGTCCCCAACCCCTGGTCTGTGGACCAGTACCGGACCGTGGCATGCCAGTAACTGGGCCGCACAAACAAGTGAAACCCCATCCACGAGATGCAGGCAGTACATGAAACCATGCCCCCTCCGGTCTGCAGAAAAACCTCTTTCCACGGAACCAGTCCCTGGTGCCCAAAAAGTTGGGGACCTCTGATTTATACAAAGGTTCCTACAGCTAGAAAAAACAACCTGCTGTTATTTGTTAGCCAAGGATCCTTCATGATCTGTCTGTCTGTCTGTCTGTCTGTCTATTTATATAACCCATGAGTTCAAAAACAATCTCATATCTTGCAGTATATAATTTACAAAAAGAAAATGATACAGGTAGTCCTCGACTTACGACCACAATTGAACCCAAAATTTCTGTTAAGTAAGACATTTGTTAAGTGAGTTTTGCCCCATTTTACGACCTTTCTTGCCACATTTGTTAAGTGAATCATTGCAGTTGATAAGTTGGTAACCCAGTTGTTAAATGAATCTGGCTTCCCCACTGACTTTGCTTGTCAGAAAGTCGCAAAAGGAGATCACATGACCCATGGACACTGCAACCATCATAAATATGGGTCAGTTGCCAAGCACTTGAATTTTGAACACAAGATCATGGGAATACTTAATAGTCGTAAGTGTGAAAAACAATCTTTTTCAGTGCCGTTGTAACTTTGAACAGTCACTGAACGAACTGTTGTAAGTCGAGGAATACATGTATATTACAGGATAATTTCAGGAAGGTAAAGTGATAAGGATTCATTAATTTGAATACTTAATCTAGCTTTTTTTCTAGGTTTAAAGATATTTGTTATATAAAGAGGTATTTGGTACAAGAGACAATTGTTGAAGATGGTCTGCTAACAAATAATGATAATAGGACACTTTATTTCTTGCAATACAACTAACAATACCAAAAACTCTAGAGCTATAATCAAAGCCAACTTACTGCCTTGTTCAGGACATGTGAAACTTTAATATGCTAGTTAGAACCTTAAATATTTCAATTTAATTGTAGGGAAGGTCTTCCAATTACATAATGATTTTAAAAAATAATGAAAATGTTTTCCTTTAAGTAGAAATACATATTCCCTCTTAGTCTTTATTTAACAAAAATGCAATCAGTGTACCAACATGATTAGATTCATAATCTAAAAATATTTTATAGTAGTAAAACAGATTCTAAACTCACTATCAATTATTTATTAGATGCTGCAACTGTTATCAATATTAATCAGTATTTGTTTCATATCACTTCTACATTAAAAATCATTTTACCAATTAAATGGCTAACAAGCTAGTCGAGTACTTTCTTGATCACTGGTAGTTAATAAAGCTAACATATAAAAGGCTGCAACAATTACAAGAATAAAATGCCAGAAAAGAAAATTACTAGTTTATTCTTTATTATATATATGCTGTTTGTTGTACTGTGTATAGTTATCACAAAGAGATGCAGCATAGGGGATTTGTCTAAATAAGAAGTATGTGTAAATATGCAATTTCAGCCTCATTCAAGCAATGAGGCTACATGGAACACTGAAAACTTAATATCTTCTAACAGATAAAAAGCAAACAATCAAACAGTCCTCCATAGCCCATCCATTGTGACCCAATCTTCATTCTCTCTCTAAAGCAATTCAGAAATGCTTGATAACTTCTGTAAAATTCTTCCAAATAGATATTTTTCTTTCCTATCCCTCAGTGCACAGATGCATTACGAACAGGTGAACTTCAATTACAACAGTAACCCAGTTAATAAACACAGTGTTATTAAATGAGGTACAGGCCACCAAGAAGTCTTTCAATGATTAGATCAGACCTACTTGGGTATAGATTTGGGACAAGTTTTGCTATTTTCATTCACCCCAAAATATGCTAGCATGTTTCAACAGTTATAGCTAGACTGAAATTTGGATTCAAATTCTAGCCTATCAGGAAGATCACTGGATGAATCTGAGCCAGCAACTTCCTTAATTTGACATACCACACAGGATTGTTATAAGGATAAAGCTAAAAAGAAGATATATGCATTGGGTAGGGGAATCCGTGAAAAAAATGAATAATTATGGTAGCCCAGTGAATACTATGCCACAATATTTTTGCAGATTCAAGACAGTAACTAAAATTTCTTTCAACATCAACAGTCCATTGTCTTTATCCAAACTGATATAGGTAGGTAGTCCTTCTTACTGACTATTCATTCAGTGACCATTTGAACTTATGAAAACAGAGACTTACAACTGGACTTCAAAGTTGTAGCTATCACATCATCGTGATTCAGATGCTTGGGAACCATTGATAATAGTTGCAGCATCCCATGATCACCATTTACAGTTGGTTTCTGACGAGGAAAGTCAATGGGGAAGTTGGCAGGAAGTAGCAAGTTGTGACATGTAACACTGCACTTAACCAACAATTCATTTAACAACTGCAACCAACAGAACTAGTATCATAAGGTCATGTGATGTTGCATTTAACAACCAGTCCCTATTGTAATCAGTAAGAACTATCTGTACTGCAATTTTCCTGTTTTCAGGTCATCTGAAAGCCACAATTACAACTTCCGTTAGGTACTAAGAACAGTCTGTTAATGGGAAAGGATGTCAATACAAATTGTGTTTCAATGCTCATTAAAAGAGTACTTTGGTAAGAGTTTTGTACATCAAGCTGTGGATTCTTTAATTGTTGTGTACTAATTAAATCATAAAGTTGACTTCTTAATCAAAAGTGAACAAAAATGTTTTGCCTACAGTTCACAGTGGCAAGTACACTGCAGACCAACACACTTTCTATGATAGAGAAATCTAAGAGAACTAGAACCTTAATTAAACATTACCATTTAGGTGCTCCAGCTTAGGTTTCAGCCAGTTTATTCCATACCACCTGCCCAATTTCTCATTATATCCTTTCTCATATTTCCCATAATCATTCAGCTATTCAGTGTTTTTTTCAGCTATTCTTTGTTTTGCTTTTTTACTTTTGCAAATATCAAGATTCCCCTAAGTCTGCTGATACTGGTGCTTCAGTAGTACACAATGAAACTTGACTTCATACAAACTTTATTCCCAAGAATCAAAACTATTTCTTAATATAAGTATATTAAGTCCTTGACTTATGATCAGATGTTCAGCTACTATTCAAAGCTATGAAGCTAAAGGACTTACTACCTTTTTGCCCTGTGGTCATATGATCAGAATTCAGGCACTTGGCAGCCTACCCACACTTACAACTGCAGGGTACTTTCTTTTAGCCATTTGGCTCCCTATATTCTGCAGCCTCTTACCCTGACCTTTTCTATCCCACTGCTGACAAAGCATGCCTGGTTTGGCCCTTTGCGAGGCAACTGCTGGCTCTGCAAGGCTTTCTTCCAAGGTCGTGCATGGAGATTTCCTACGTGAGACATGGGGAAGATGGCTCACATGGTTTCTTTGTGAAGGGCCAACATGGGAATGCCTCATCAGCAATGGAAGCAAGAAAATATCAAAGGTCAGCTGAGGCAGCAGGAGACTTGGAGTGCAGGTAGCAAGGACAGGTAAAGCTGGGACTGGGCTGGAGCATTTCCCAGGATGCTGAGGCTTGGAGATGCACTGTTGGAGGTTCCCAGGACTCTGAGGCTTTGGGTCGTGCTGTTGGAGCTTCCTGTGGTACAGCAGCTTTGTCATGAAGGTATGGGCCTCCATTTACCCAGCCCTGCTATTTTGCTGGATAATACAGAATGCATTCCAATTCCAGAAATAATGAGATACTTAAAAAATATACTATTTCATTCTGAGACAATCTAATTGCAACCACACACTGAGCAGTTAGCAGAGTTGTTAGTTTACATTACTTCACAGCAGCTACTGGAGGAGATATATGCAGAATAAATGATCAAATCCTACTGGTTTATTTATCTTAAATCTTATCTTTTGTAAGGTTTGCTCATTTTAATAAATGTTATCTGCAGAAAATTATATATAAAAACAAAGCATTTAGATACATACTTTAAGATCATTTGTCATATTTACAAATAATATAATCCTAATTGAGAACAGGAAAATGAATGTTCCCTTTACTTTCCATTGTATATTGACTATTAATCTTGTATCTCATCTGTGTTAGCCATCAAATAAATGCCAGAAGTTCCTCTTAATCAATATGTCAACTTTCAAAACAAAGATTCATGAGGAAGACAGTGTTTCCAGAAAAAAGGCAGCCAATCTAATATCCAACTACAATTCTTTCTAGACTAATTTTTAGACATTTCCAGCAGTACAAACATATTTTAACTGCTGCAACTACTTTCTCCAGAATGTATTTCTATTGCTCTGCCAGCAGAAACCTTAATCGTTCATAACTCTTCTTTCTTTCATTCTCTTTCTTTCTGGTAAGATATAGCTAATCCCTAAAATGAAACACCGTGATTGGATTCATTCATCCTGTTATACTCTGGGTTGTTGAATAAACTCCATATTTGCTGGCTTTCCAGAATACAGCGCGATGTATAAACCACACATGAGAAAGTTCTAAACACTTCCTTATTAGCCAACCATTTCAGTAGCCGAAAACGGCTTTTAGCCTATAAAGTTCAAAACCTCTGTATTACTGCGGGGCGGGGGGGGGAGAGAGGAGAGAGAAGAGAGCGACAATGAAAAAGAGAATTACGAGAGTGGGTTAGTAGAAGACAGGTAGAAAAATTAACCCGCTCAAAATTCCGGGCTCTTCCCAAGTCAGTATCGGCGCTTCCAGATTTCGCCTTGTTCCTCCACACCTCGGAGGCAAAACTGTATTTAGGCGAAGGCGGCTTTCCCGGACCAGCGGGAGAGGGAGTTCCTCGCCCAGCTTCTTCGAGGAGGTCAACACCGAGCTCTGGGACCGGGATCGGGCTGCCCGAAAGATGGGTAGGGTCAAAGGTCAGTGGGAAGTAACGGGCATCCCCTACCTCCTTCCCGCCCCCCGCTTGCACCACGGCTGCCCCCACTGGGACCCCCGCTACCGCCAGGAAAACGGAGACACGCCAAAGTCCGCCAGCTCTCACCCGACCGGCCCGAGTCATGTCGGTGGCCGAAGCCACTCAGCTTCTCGGTCCGTCGCGCAACCGCCGACCTCGCAAGACACCCTCGCTAGGAGCCGCCATCTTAAGAGCCTCGGGTTCTGGGGTGCTCAAGCCCCGCCCCCTCGGCGCGTCAAGCCGCGCTCCCTCGGGCAGCTTCTCTGCTGCGGGGATTCCTCGTGTGAGTGGCGCAAGTCATGCGTGCACTGGAGGTGGGCAGAATTGCTGTTGGTGCACTTGTCACGATAGGAGCTTTCCGCGTCTCTCGAGTCGTGTTTCCTCTCTGCGATAGTCTTGGGTACCTGAACTATGGTCTACTGTACTCATATCAGTTACCAGGATTCACATAGTGTAGCACGCTGGACCGGAGCGGAACCACAATCGAGAACTGGAAAATGAGCTGAATCGCAAACTAACCGGCCATTTTTTAAAGTCTTTTAGCTGATAAGCACAGCGACAGTCTTTATTTTAGGGAGGGTGGGGGGCTGGGAGGGGTGTTAGGAATGATGTAGCAGCTTGTTCAATAAACTAGCGCCTGGTTTAGCTAATTTGCCAAGCCAAATAAAGTGGAGCCTACTTAACGTTTAGATGGAGAGCATCAGACAATATCTGGGAAAATGGGAAGAGGTTGGGACAGTGGAACAAATCCACACAGACAGTGCGACTCTGAAAGATTTGCTCCCATGAAGGATTTGTTCTTGTATAGAATGTAAGTTTACATACTGTATATTATAATGTAGTTGTTTGCTCTTCAAGAGTGTGGTTTGTGAACCCAACTATTGTAGATAATACACCACAGTACTTAAAACTATTTGTTTAATGACCATTCAAAGTTACAACCGCATTGAAAAAAGTGACCTGTGACCATTTTTCACACTTATGATCATTGCAGCAACTCCATGGTCATGTGATCAAAATTCTGATGCTTGGCACCTGGTACATATTTATGATAGTTGCAATGTCCTGGAGTCATGATCACTATTTGTGACTTTTGACGAGAAAAGTCAATGGGGAAACCAGAGTCACTTAACAACAATTGCAATGATTCACTTAACAACTATGCTAAGAAAGGTTGTAAAATGGGAGAAAACTCTTAACACTTAACAACTGCCTTGCTTAGCAACATAAATTTTGGCCTCACGTATCATAATTCGAGGACTATCTATATAAGGTTTAGTGTTTTGTGTGAATTCTGCCTAGTATGCTTTATTCAGTAAAGTGTGGCTGGGTTCTGTTAAGTTATGACTTTGTTCTGTGTAAAGCAGGCATGTCAAACTCGTGACATCATGTGACGTCGCGCGAAGTATCACAACTTTTTCCCCATTGCAGGCAATGGGGTGGGCGCGGTTTTGGTGTGACGCATCCGGCCCGTGGGCCGGCAGTTTGACATGCCTGGTGTAAAGACAACTGCCTTACAACCAGCTCATCCTATTTGCTGAGTGGTACCAAAAAGATGCAGCAGATTCTGTAACTACAATAGCAGGTTCTGGTTGCTGAAATTCTGTGGTAGCATAGTGGTGGTATTGACTGCTGGCATGCAGCTGATTAATGCTATGTTGATCTTTCCTGCTATGGTGCAGAAAGATGATCTCTAGCAAAAAGAGTCATAATTATGTCACTGTGTTAAGCATATGTTAAGCCTGGTGGTGCAGTGGTTAGTATACAGTATTGCAGGCTAACTCTGCCCACTACTATCCTGACCTTCTCAAGATTAACTCAGCCTTCCATCCTTTCTAGGTCGATAAAATGAGGACCCAGATTATTGGGGGCAATATGTTGCCATTGTACAGAGTGTGCTGTAAACCACTATGGAATGGTTTATAAATCTAAGTGCTGTTGCTATTAAGGATACATGATTTATTTGTTGTTTTGGTAGAGCACAGTGTTTCAGACACTAATATATTGTACAATCTTTTAACATTTTTCAATTCCCATTAAGAATGTCCTATAAATAAGTGACTCAAAAATAATGCTCTTTGTTTTAAATGAGTTTACTTACATGATAAAATATTAGAATATAGATTAACCTCCCAATAAAATTAAAATTAAAGTAAAGCTGTATATAATGTAATGAGAAACATGAAGAAGAAAGAAATTGTAAAATAACTGAAAAATCTGAAGATGAGAAAAATGCATATAAGAGGAAGACTGATATAAAATATATGTGTATGAAAAAATAGGATTAAAAATAGTAGACATGGCTAACATTACAAGAGACACAGAAAATCCAGAATAATTTTGATGATTTTTTTTTTAAATTAGAAATAAGTGAAGGGAGTTAAACAAAGAACCTCCAGCAAAGTGAGTGGAATAAAAAATACAAGTAATGAAATGAGGGGAAAATGAAATGTTGAAAGAAACATTTTATAGATCTGTATGGAAATAATACTGTATATGGAAAAATGAAAATGAAATAAATGTATAAATGTTAATGTCCAAGAAAAAATGCTGTGATAACAGTGAAAAATTGCAAGGCTACAGATACACAGAGTGTAACAAAAGAAGTGAATTTGGGCCTACTTAGTGGAAGAATGCATGATTTCCCTGTGTAAGGGGAAAGTAATTATAAGTAATTTAGTATGCTAAGTCTGGAAAGGTATGTGGCAAAAATATCATTGAAAGAGGACAAAAAATAATAGCAACATTTGAGAAGTATGATATGGCTTTATGTTGACACAGGTCTATTATAGGTTAGATTTTTGCTGTTTAGTAAGACATTGAGAAATGTATAATGTGAGAAAAAAATTGAGAAAAGTTTATTGTTTAATGTGAGAAAAGTTTATTCCTTATTGGTTCAAAGAAAAAGTAATGGAATGTTTTTTGAAATATGGAAAGAAGGAATTGGAAGAAGATGGAAGAAAAATATGCATGGTTATAAATTAGATGGCTTAGGATTGAGCGGGAAATAGGCCAGGGATGGGTAATAACTTCTTTACTTTTAATAGAGGGAGCACGATAGCTCGGATTAAAGACACTGAGCTTGTCAGCCTGGATTTGAGATCTGAGCACCTCACAATGGTGAGCTCCCATTTCTGCCCCAGTTCCTAGCAGTCTGAAAGCATGCAAAAGTGAGTAGATAAATATGTACCACTTTAGTGGGAAGATACCGTATTTTTCCGTGTATAAGACGCTATTTTTTCTTGCAAACATCCTGTTCAAAAATCAGGTGCGTCTTATACAAGTGCAGCATTTTATACATGGAAAAATAATGGTAACCTCCGCAGCCCAGGGCATGCCTGTATGGGTTGCCATGCCACCTAGTGCAGGTGTCAAGCCACTGTGGGCTTGCCACTAATGGGAGGGGAGAGGGGGAAAGATCATTCCCTGGCCGAATTTCTGGGTTTGCCAGCTCAGCTGTTTGGTGCTGCGCTGAACAGCTGATCGGCACGGAGAAACTCGCATGCCAGAGCGTCTTATACAAGGGTGCGTCTTATAGACGGAAAAATACGGTAACAGTATTCCGTGCACCTTGGTGTATAGTCATGCTGGCCACATGACTACAGAAAATGTCTTCAAACAATGCTGATTCCTTCAGCTAAGAAACGGATATTAGTACTGCCCCCTAGAGTCAGATATGACTGAACAGGGAAACTTTTACCCTTTATCTTTACTCTTTAATATATTTGTGAAGAAATGTATAAAAATGCTTTTGGTGGCATTAGAGATGCACTGTGATGGGGGGCATGAATTTATTTTTCTACACAGATGATGCTGATTTTTTTGGCTGAAAAACCATTTGCAACAAATATTAGATTGTGTAATACAATAAGGAGTATGGATCTGTTCATTAATGTGAATTCAGGTGCTTGGCAACTGGTGTGTATTAATGATAGATGCACTGTTCTAGGGTCACATGATCATCATTTGTAACCTTTGCAGCCAATTTCCGACAATAAAACTCAATGGGTGAAGCCAGATTCCCTTAACAACCACATGATTCACTTAACAACTGCAGTGATTTGCTTAACAATTGTGGAAAAATCTGCAATTGTCACTGTTAGGAAGAATAGCGACTGTGAAGATGAACATCTTACCGAAACTACTTTTCCTATTTCAAACAGCTCCTGTTAAACTGGGCAACAAATTCTTTGATGATTTTAATGCAACAATATTGATATTTATATGGCAAGGGAAGAAAGCACAAATTAAAACTAAATTATTACAAGAAACCAAAGACAGGGGGGATTTTGGACTTCTGGATTGGAGACTTTATTACCAAGCAGCCATCTTGCTTTGGCTTAAAGAATGTATTACACTGAGAAATAAACAACTTCTTTATTTAGAGGGACACGATCTGCAATTGGGTTGGCACGGTTTCTGTGGTATGAGAAAAATAAAGTACACAAATATTTTCAAAATCATGCCGTAAGGAATGTATTGCTCTCAGAGTGGGAGAGAATTAAACACAAAATCTACACTAAAATACCTGAATGGCTTTCAACAATGGAAGCGTTTGCTTACCCAAATTTAATTAACTATGACAAACTTGTTACTTATAAAGACATTTTGGACGGAAAACTTAAAGACAGGCAAGATCTTCAACAACAAGGGATCGATTTAACATGGTGGTCTTATTTGCAAATTCAAACAAGATATGAAAAAGATGTAAAATCAATGGGATTTTACAAAGAACAGATACAATTTGACAAAATACTTTTGAAAACAGATGAAAACCTGATTAAGAAACTTTATAAATTTCTTTTAAACTGGAAGATGAAAGAAGAACAAGTAAAAGAAACAATGATAGTGTGGGCAATTTTTTGGGGATATTCTATATGGCAAAAGCTTTGGGATAGAAATATTAAACTTACTAAAGCAGCTTCATACAAAGAGAATTTATATAAAATGTTTTATAGATGGCATATGACACCAGTTAGACTAGCGAAAATGTTTAAAAATGTATCAAATATTTGCTGGAAATGTAAACAAAAACCAGGTACTTATTATCATGCCTGGTGGATATGTCCTAATGCAAAGAAATTTTGGTTTAAGATCCACTTATGGCTGGAAAAAATGACTAAAATACAGATAGAATTTAAGCCAGAACTGTTTTTGTTAGGAATATTAGGACTTAATTATGGAAAAGAGAATGAATATTTAATATT